CGAGTGAGGAGTATTGTCTGGATTTTTTCACTGGGTCACGCCGGTGTGTTGGGAAATGAACAGGCGGACAGACCGGCTGGCTCTGCACAACTTGGTGGAATACTGCTACATGATAGGGCAGACGTGGTTAGTGCCTTGTGGGAGAGCGTGTACAGCTCGGAGAAGCAGATGGATCACCATAGTCTGGTGAGATTAATGCAAAAAAGGGGGGGGGGGAAGTGACGAGAGGTTCTGGCAGATGCTCTAGGCCCAGAGGAAAGGCAAGACGGACGTTTAATCAGAATGCTACTGGCACCATTAGTATCGGAACTCTTTGCTGGCTGCTAAAGATGGAGACGGAGTGCTTATGGGAATGCCCCGAGTACTGTGATGTCGGTTCTTGAATCAAATCAAATTAAATCATGTTTTTCGCAGTTTTTCTTTGGGACAATGTTGAGGGAGTAGAACATTCAACCATGTCTGTCCAAAAACACAAATGCAAACTTTTTTTTTTTTTAATTTATAGAAAACAAAAAGAATACCCACAGACAAAACTCTCTGTCAGCCATAAATAACAATAAAGGATGAAGCCATTGAAACTGGCACAAACTTTCAACATCTATGCTCCGTAAAAAATAGCAATGGAGTCTTCGAATGAAGTCATGACCAGGATGGTCTTAGCAATATCAAAATTATTCAGCAATAAGAAATGTATGCTAAAACTCTTAGTCGATGCACTTTCCTGTTCCAATGAACAGATGTGATCCGTGGACTATCTATTAGTGCTTAAGGAAAAAATACGGTTTTGTGTGCCGAATTGCTATAGAAAAATTCTTAGAATACCTTGGACAAAGAAGACAAGATATGCTGCCCTTCCAAAAGATCTGAACATCAAAGATGACTGGCGAATAAGCAGCATTTTGTCTCGAAACCTAAAATTATCTGGTCATCTGTCATCTATAGGGCCACGACCGATTGGCGAAGGACAATAATGGCAGAAGGCATAGTACCAGGGAGAAGCAGGGCCTGACCACCACAAAGATGTGCACACGAAATGACTTCTTCAGTATGAATCGTCACGGTGCGGGAGAGCTGGTGAGAGACCAGCTTTCTTTCAAGCAGGTCGTGAGGAAATCGACGCTTTGCAAAGGGTCTGCTATATAATAATGACTATATGTTATTTCATAACATTTTATTTGCAGGTCGAAATGTGGCACTGAAACAGAAGACCCTACAGTCGTCCAACAGCTCAAACCATCCAGAGTGGGGTCTGTCTTCAAACGCCATCGACGATAACACACGGAACATCTACGACGAAAACAGCTCCTGCAGTCAAACGGGTGTTCAATACAAGCCATATTGGAAAATCCAGTACAATCATCCGGTCGTGCTAGTGAATACTGTAGTCTATAATCGGAACAGTAAGGAAATCTCTTTCATTTTGTGAATGTCATGGGTGTTTTATATTGTGTCGAGGTTAATTCCAAAGTACACAAATATTACGAACACGGACTCCACTTGTTAAGAGTTCCAGTTTACTAAACGTCCTGAAAAAAAAGGAGCAAGGGGAAGGGTGGAGGCAGCCGATCCACACAAGGCCCACCGCACATAGAAAACACGAGGCGTCAATTTCTCCCACAATACATTTGGGGATGGGAGCTTCAAGTCTTGTTTACTTGCACAATCATAATAACAACAATAAGATCTACTATTATTATTGTATAATAAAACACCGTTTAAGTCCTTTGAGCCCCTCCCTCAGAGCCTCATGTGTGTGTAATACTAGTAGCAGAAGTAGTAGTAGTTGTTGTAGTTGTAGTAGTAGTAGTTGTTGTAGTAGTAGTAGGTAAAAGGTGTGGGATAAAAGAGTGGGTTGAGTGTGGAAAAGGGGGGGGGGGGGGGCTACTGTTTATTTTTTTTTTTGATTAGGTGGATCTAGTAGGGCGTTCAAGTATTCACCCCCCCCCCCCCCTAATCAAATAAAAAAGTGTATGTGCGTGGAAAAGGAGGGGGGGGGGGGGAGGAGGGTAGTATCGAAAGAGCCTGTTTCAGTATTATATATCAGGTTTTCAGTTATGCCTGTTTTCACCAAACGTACTTTAGTCAAGCCTGTAAATCGATTCTTAGCAGAGATATTAACATTTTAGTGGCGGATTCCGCTATTGACACATCATGGTGAAAATGGACAAAAAATGGATTCCGGGCTGCGGCCCAGTAAAGTGAAATGATCTCAATGTTTGCATTTTATGGCCATAACTTTTTGTTTCTGATCTAATCCCTTAGAAGCTATATATTGCTGAAATCAGCAAAGAGAGACCTAACTGTATATGAGTATCTCAAATATATACGATAAAATACGCGCCTAATTAGCATATACATACGGCGACCCGATGACTATTTTCAACACAAACCTTGTACATTTATGTGTTCTGATAAGGCGAACAAAAGGATCATAAAATGTGCCATTGTTAGTTGACGTGACCTTTACACATGGCCACCAGCTGACTATTTTTCAGCAGAAAACCTTTTTGGTATTCTGACACAAGCTCTGCTCTGGAACCGACAGGGGCATAGAAATAAAGAAAGACAAAAAACATAAAAATAGAGCTAGAAAGAGAAGTTTAAAAGATGGGCAGGACACGGTGAGAGCTGTATGCAAAAGCAAAGATTAGAACAACTTGGTGTGTGATGGTTGAGGACCTATACCATATTTCGGGATAGAAGGAAGAACAAAAAGACACTAGTTGGCAATATGTTTTTGACCAAAACTGACACAGAAACGGTATGAATGTGAATGTCTATGAAAAAAAGCGCCAAACAGTGTCGACTAGTCATGGTACCACGGTAAAAACTGAATGATACTGGGCGTAAATGAGAGATAATAAAAAAAAAAACCTGATTTTTCTCTCATGTAAAAAAAAAAAAAAATTGCGTTAGACAGATATGAAAGACACATAGGTAGTAACAGACAGATACAGCATAGATTATTGACATACCATGAGATTTTGTTGATGTGATTACGTATTCGCCACAGCTTCTCTCGTGCTGCTCGCAAATCTATGGAAAAATAAAATTCACTAGAAAACTACAGCTATTGTGCAATAGAGAAACAATTTGTGGTAGTATCAATATGTTTACCCAGTATCCAAAAACATAACATTCTTACACTGGTATGCATCATGACGAGTCCAGAGAAAAGATCCTAGTGAATAGACAATCACACACAGAGGAAAAGATCCTAGTGAATAGACAATCACACACAGGAAAGATCCTAGTGAATAGACACACACTGCTTAAAATGATATGGTATCTGAGCAAGCTGAACTCATTGTGGTGTTAGAAAATGGAAGAATGGGCCTCAGTTTGAATAATGGGAAGACAGACGTAATGGTGGTATCAAAGCAACGAATTATTCCTAAATGTGTAATAAAAGTCGATGGTGTTATTTTAGGACAAGTTCAGAAATTTAAGTACCTGGACCATGGATAACTTCAGATGGAATGGATAAGAAGATAAGAAGCGAAATATGAAAGGCAAAAACTGCATTTTATAAAATAAAGAACATCTTGTGCAATATATGTTTGTCATTGAGAGTTAGAAGAAGAATGCTTGCTTGCCACATACATCCAGTTTTAACGTATGGCTGTGAATCCTGGACAATCGGTAGGCAGGACAAATAATTTCTGGACGCCTGGGAGATGTGGTTTTACTGAAAAATGCTTAGAATACCTTGGACAGCCAAAAAGAGCAAGCGAGAGGTTTTGAAAGAGGCGGGAGCCCGAAGACAACTTATCACAGACATCAGAAGGGGACGGTCATCATTTTTCGGCCATTTTATGAAAAAAAGGAAAAAAAAATGTTGTGACCACTGGAAAGATCTGTAGAAGGAGGGATAGAGGAAGACGAGAGAAGATTCTTGACAGTCTTGTTTCATGGCATGGAGATGTGTCGGAACACGAGCCAATACATGAGGAAGGAGATCGTGGATTGTGGAGAGGCATGATCGCCCACGCCAGTCGGCAAGGTACCTGATGATGATGATCTAGTTATGGGAAACAGGTTCACGCATTGTTTGTGGTGATCGCATCTGCTAACACACCTTTAGCTCTCTTTTGGCGTGGCCTGCAGAATCCTTGACATTGGGAGTCAGCGACCAGACAGCCCGGTTGGGAAGAGTGTTGTTAGGTGTGAGCTCAGAGCTTATTTAATGAAACGTGTGAAGGCGCGTCTAGCTACTGAGGCCAACTGTATGACTTAGCATTCTTTGATATTAAAGACTGTATGTCTGTGGGTTCCTCAGGGTTCGGGATTGCTTTTTCTTTAGCAGATTTAACTCTCACCGGCATGCAACGCAGACATATGTTAACACAGTAGACAAGCATGTCATTTACAGGTTTAAAAAAAGGGAGGGGGGGGGGGATTTGTCCACGCGCATCTGCGTCGATTACAGGAGAATAAATGCCTCTACCAGTTTGGATGCAGAGCCTATACCGAATGCCTAGGATTTCTAACATTCACGGGAGAAGCCACATTTTTTTTTTAAACTTGACTTGACAAAAGAGTATTGGCAAGTACTAATGACGCCTGCTGGTGGATGTAATGTCCTTAGTCCCTTCCCCAGCTAAAAGTGAGGGTACTGCTGGGGTGACCATTTATTATAAAGTTATACTTTTAGACACTTGGAAGTGTGCCGATTATTGTGTAACTCAGATAGCACACAAAAATAGGACATTTTTGTCTTGGCCATAATAAAAATAAGTCTCATCACTTAATTGTCGGACCTTGTAAATAGCTCTTTTTCCCCACACAGGCTTCTTTATTAGCTTGTTTTTTCCCCTACACAGAGAAGAGTCATAGTATGTCTGCTGTCACACAGAACATTTATGACTCCTTTTCTCACACAGAGGATACTTATCACACGTTTCCTCACAAGAAGAACATTACCGCAAACAGAGAACAGTCATTGTTTGCTGTTCACACAGAGAAGGAATATTAATGCATCTGTTTTTGTTATTCCCCAGTTTATCAAGAGAAACTGTCGACTATGTACCTAGATTTAACGTATAACACAAGCTACCTTGTTAAAAGCTCATTTCTCCCAAATGTACAGCCTGTACGCAGGGTAGGAGACGATTATCACTTTGCCCTGACAGAAGTGAAAATTTATATTCCCATGACCAGCGAACTGACACTGTGTGAGGTATACACCTTGGGTGGTATGTATTTTTAACTTTCTATGTTTACATAGTCAGGACTCTTTGTGGTTTCACGCATGTTTATCTGACCCCTTCTGTGTAATCTATTAATATATGTGTAATCACACACATGATACATTCATACAATAGCATATATACACAAACATACATTTATACATGCATGGATACATACATTGCATACATACACACATGCACACAATACACATTACATATATATATGCATACAGTACCTTTGAAATACGTACATACAGACATGCACACAATACATACAAACGCACATGCATACAATGCTTACATACACACACTACACACATGCACAATAGTACACACACAAACACACACACACACACACACATATATATATATATATATATATATATATATATATATATATATATATATATATATATCTGCATACACAATAGTACATTCATACGATCATAAATACATGTACACACACACCTACATACATACATACATACACATATACGCTCATACATACAAACCCACATACGCACACCTACGTACGCACGTACGTATGTATGTGTGTATGTGCCTGTAAAGTGTGTATGCATGTGTGTATGTATGTTTTATGTGTGTATGGATGTGCGTATGTATGTATTATTGTATTGTGTGTGTGTATATATATATATTATTGTGTATGTTTTTATTGTGTGCATGTGCGTATGTATCTATTGTGTGCATATGTGTATGCATGTATTATTGTGTGTGTGTGTGTATATATATATATATCTGTATATATATATATATATATATATGTGTGTGTGTGTTATTGTGTATGAGTGTATGTATGTATGTTTGTGTTGTAGTTGTTGCTTTTAATATAACTTGAGGTTTACCTCTGATTTCTAAAGGTAATTTACTAAAACCACAACATATCAGTCTCTTTCTTATTTTTCTTTTCTTCTGTCAGAAAATATATCAGGAGGCCGGTAACCATCGTGCATTGCATATATACTTGTATACTATTCAGCTGTGTCTTTAATATCGTTGGAACATGCACAGCATTTTCTGGTGCCACGCTACAGGGACACGACTCCATGTTTTCTTCACCGAAAAGTTTAAACATATGTTGACGATGTCTGTTGTACCCTGTTACTAGTCTGAAAATAATACATTGTCCCCATGTAAAGAGGGGAGAACCTGGTGTGTGTACACAGCCACCTTTCTTGGATACTAGATTATAATGATTTCTTAGTCTCTTGTTGGGTTCAGTAACTATTTGGTTGTACCATGTCGCTGTCGCTTCTGGCCAATGTGTCAGCTATTTCATTGCTTTTCAAGCCACAGTGATCTGGAATCCATGCAGTACAGAACTTTCCACTGTCATTGATTCAACAAGGGTCTATATTTTCCGAATGATGTTGAAACTATAGATGTCAGCAGTATGGCTGATTGTAAGACATTATAGATCACAATACAGACTTGACTATGAACATTTTGCAATGCACGTTAGAATGTACTAGATTCATCGAGAAACAGCAGATCAAGTGGTTTGGTCATCTCGTTAGAATGCAGCAAGATCAAATACCATCACAAGCACTACATCTCAGAAGATCAACTACAAGAGCAAGAGGACGGCCGCGGAAAACATGGATCGACAACATTAAAGACACTCTACGCGTTCACGGCATGACAATAGCCAGTGACAGCCAACGTGCACTGGATCGCAAATTATTCCTCCCCATGTTGCTTAACGGCAGAAGTGGTTTATGATGATGATGATGATGATGTTAGAAATAGACTGACCCGGCTTCAAATTCTCCTAATCACGGACTATTTTATGTTGAGGCTAGAGAGTGTTCATCACAGTATGATACAAACGGACAATGACATAATTATACACAGAAGCAAACACACACACACACACACACACAGTCACTCACAAACACACACGCACACACAGACTCACACACACGCACTCACGAACGCACACACACGCACATACACACACAAACTCACTTGTATATAATAGAAGCCGCTGGAGAAATATCCTGAGCACTTCTAGACAGTATGAACTGTGAGTCATGTGTAATGTCGGAAGGGGATATTGAGAAGTAACAGGGATATGCAGGTTACGACAGGGGTTACTGAAGTGGGAAACACAATTTTACAGAGACGGGATTTTAATATTCTCTTTTGGTGATTTTCATATTTTGACGTAGCGTAATGTGCGTTTGTCGTTTGTGACGGTGATACCCTACACTTTAACATACGAACTCATAAGCTGAAAGAAACTTGGTAGTGCAGATTTCTTCTTTAAGTCCTTTCACTTTGGTGTTGCATTTCGGAGTGTGCATTTTCTGTGTACGTACAATTGATTTTTCTGTTTTTTTTTTTTTTTTTTTTCAATCTAAGGCCCTTATTTTCCCTTTCTGTTACTATTATGTTCATCATTTCTTGCATTCGTGTTTCATTGTCAGCGATTAAAACTATTTCGTCAGGATATCACAGGTTGTTAACAATATGTCCACCAACAAAATTCATGACATACCATGTATGGGACTGATTGTTGCATTACTGTATAAAGTGAATAAATCGGATGATAGTACATATCCCTGTCTAACACCTTGTTTAATGTTTTGCAAAATTCAAACTTAAGTGTCATTCCTTATGGTTGCTTCTTATGAGTATATGTTTTTTTTTTTTTAATTGCTCTTGCATCTCTACCATTATTATTTGAGGTTTCCAAGATTCTAATAATTTCTATCCGTTTGGCTCTATAAAATGTGTTAATGTAATCAATAAAGCACAAATACAGATCTTTGTTCATTTAAATAATTCTTTCTGAAAGTTTTCGCAAGATAAATGTGGCCTTGCTCGTGTATTTGCCTTCAACAAAACCACACTGCCCTTCTGAAAAGATTTAGTGCAGAATTAGGTAAATATTTTCACAAGAGCTTTTCATTTCACCTTTTCGTTGGTCCTGATCTGGTCACCAGTCAGATTTTGAAGACGCATATGGTGCGAACTTTAGTGTCGGTAACTCTGATGCTATTATTGACCTCCTCGGACAGTCCATCTATCCATGGCTTGCAACCTTGATCCTGCTTATGTTGCTTAAGATTGGTAGGACTATCATTGATGCACTATATCGTAATGTCCTGGACACCTGACCGTCTCATTTGATCATTGTTTTGAACACTTGCTTAATTGTATTGTCATATCATACTCCATGTGTCGCTGGCTTTTCTTTCGCTACAATAAATATGTAGGCGTATGTGGTGGTTTAGTTGTTGCCAACGCAGTTCGTAATTTCTGGATACCCGGTTCAGTTCTAGCTGAGGGCGTCTTGGCTCGAGGCTGTTTTGCGCTGACTTCAACAAATGGCACTGTGAGTTAACCGTTGAGGGCACAATGACTAACTTCTTCTTCTTCTCCCTCTTCACTTCAAACAGTTCGCTCACCGAATTGTGGGGGAGATGTGACAATTTTCTGTCCACTGCGTGTTTTTTTTCTCAAAGGTTACTTTTTGAGCCATTGTTCAGTCTTCTACGTGGTCTTCTTCCTATGTGTTCAATATGTCCATTACTGTGGTTCAGCAATAACAATCCACTAATCGTAGAAATCCCTAGGAAAAATAAAAGTAGCGGGGAGGGGGGGGGGGGATGGGTGGATTCAGTCCTGTGAAGGATACGCAACCAATGTTTTGTTTAAGTGATTGCTGTCCATTCCTGGTCAAAATGCAACGGCTAAACGCTTGCCTGCGGTTTGGAAACTCGTGGGTTTGGCTCTTGACCAAGCCAGACCTGGTTTTTAAAAAAAAATGACCTTGACTCCAGGTCGACCGTGCCTTGGTTGTCGGTGTGATGCTGACCACATCAGCCACCAAGTTTCAACTGGTCTTTATATATAATCTAACCCTTTATGCCCAAACGCCCGAAAAGATCTAAGAGATCCTTTGCTTTAGATTTTACCTCGCTTGTTGTACGTTCCTGATAGTTGCACTCACTTCTTTCTCTTTTGCAGACTTCTGGTGTTTGGATGGCATATGGGGACTGAACTGTGATAAGCAATGTACTTGTGGCGAAAACCAGAGCTGCAGCATTCACACGGGCGCGTGCAGCGAACCCTGTCCAGTTGGGAAGTATGGGCTCAGATGTGTACAGACGTGCAGTGGCAAATGCCTTAACGGCTGCACGGAACGTTGGGGCCTGTGTAAATGTCGGCCTGAAATGACGGGCAGTATATGTCTACCAGGTAGGGATGGCGGGCTGTCTGTCTTTTTCATTACTGAGTGACTAAGAAGTCTAATTTTTTTTCATTTCTTTCTTTTATTTCTTCTTGTTAGGAGAGCTACCGATGTGACGTCAGGACATACAATCAGGAATACACAAATTAGAAGAAGACATTAAAGAACAACAAATGCGATGGTGTGGCCTAAATGTACCAACTGCCACAGAGCGCCCCGCTGAAGAAATATAATGAACACAGAGCAAGTGGAAGACTACGCAAAAAATGGAGCGACACTATCAGGAGCTACCTAACAGAAATGAACCCCAATTTGTACAATGTATTGTAAAAAGCGCACAAACGATACTTACATCTCCCCCCAACACCTCGATTAGGAAAATGGTGGAAGAGGGAGAGAGAGAGAGAGAGAGAGAGAGAGAGAGAGAGAGAGAGAGAGAGAGAGAGAGAGAGAGAGAGAGAGAGAGAGAGAGAGAGAGAAAGAGAACGAACGAACGAACGAACTTTATTTTCGAAGGGTAACAAATTGGGCACGCAGGCCCGTCTTACATTCGGCCCTTCCAGTCAACCATCTTTCGCACAGCAGTTGTATTTTACTAATAAAGCATGTTATGATCATATGATGATATGCATATTATGAATATTATAAAAGAACACAAAAGCATGAGTTGTAAAGTGCATGCAAAAACCCGCGCGTGCATACACACACCCACATACACACGCTCACCCACTCACTTATACACACATACATGCATGCATACATTACATACATACATACGTACATGCAT